CTTCATCCAGCCTACCTTATCTTTGTGCAAGTCCGATACATGAATCACTAATATGGAATTTGTAACCGATCGTGGGGTGACGTTGCTCCCACAACCTTGCGACACGTGACTTCGCGCTGTCGTCCCAGATTTCAGAAGTTCATTTTGAAAGGCCGCAGCTTCTCGAGTCGACGTGTATACGTGTCGATGATGAAGGGTCAGATGGATCTGCAATCGAAATGGTATATCTGGGCATTATCATTGTAGTCGCATGCCTTTCTCGCCGCATTTGGTGAACGCATAGTTCCGATTATTATTGGCGCTAACTTGCTTCCTTTCACGCTAAAGGTCGGATATGTCGGAACGTTGAAGGTCAATTCTGTCGTTGAGAAAATCGAAGAAACGGGCACAGTCTCGGGATCGAAGAGGGGAAAGTCAGACACTTTTTTTTTTTTCCTTTCTTTATTCCCCAGGAATGTTTCGATGGCTTCTCGGTTCCCCCATCGCTCCGCAATGAAGCGTCTACTTCAAACTGCGGTATGAAGTCTTGGACCGGACCGGTCCGTTCCTACACGTTCGCGGTGACGATTCCTTGACGGCTTCAGTCTGGAGGGAAACGGGGGACTTCACCAGCTCGAAGGTGCGCTCCTTCCATCTCCGCTTAACGGGGCATCCCGGTCAATCACTAAGAACAGGGTTATAATGCACTGTAAGTGATTCTATATACTTAAATTGACAGCCAGTACTTAATACTTGCATTTTCGTAAATCTCGTTGCCATGGTATTTTGTAACCGATTTTGTTCATTAAAAATTCAGGATTTTGTGGGGTGTATTCCTGACAAACTATTTGATAGAACTTGCAATTTATTGCACCGTTCGTTGGATGACAATTACTGCTCTGCAAGCCTCGTGGGATTTTGTTCATATTTACGACAGTTCTCATTCCACGGGTAATTTCGAGGAGGTCGACAGTCAAACTATGATAAATAGTTCGGACTACATATTGAATTTAGAAAAAATGCCGCGACATTGCATTTAGTACCGTATCACAAAGCTAAACGCCAATTTTAATAAAGCAAGGGAAATTACGGTTGTTAGAAAATTGATAAAGTTATGCAGAATTGAATATTTAATTAGATAAAAAGTCTTGATTCGAGATCGGGGAGGCCCTAATTAGATTGAAATTATGGACTTATTGAAGACTTTTCTGTTTTGATTATTATCAGGGAAAACTTCGAGTGCCATAAAATCAAAATTTACTCTTTTTGACCGTGATGGGCCCTCGTTTAACTGCGGAGTCGTTTTGAGGCGTGCATATTTTTGGTCAGTGAAAGATGGTATTAATTTGAATTACGAGCCCTCACTTTTGTAATGAAGGTTGTGAATTGATGCGACATGAACGTTTATAGCGCAGTGCATATAAATTAGTCAAAGAATGGTACCGCCTTGAATTATGGGACAAGGCAGTGAAAGGGTTAAATGTTCTCGTTCGTTCTCTGGGAGGAGGAAGCGTTGCATCTCTCTCCTTTATTCTCTTGCTCCGCGGAGGGAAAGATTACACAGAAGGAAATTCTCTCGGTTGAATACGAAAGATTACACAGAAGGAAATTCTCTCGGTTGAATGCGCGCATTTGTATCTGAAGATCTGTCAATAATCTTGTTCTTGTCCTCGATAAGACGGCTTCTACGCCCTAGATGTAGTAACCCTTTATAGGACAAAACCTTTAATGACAACTTGTTGTAAATGATTGTGTGCATCCTAAAATCACTTTCCAAACCCCTTTGTTTACAAGTAAAAAAAAGTGCGGCAAAATAATCGAGTTTGAGTTCCTTTAACGAGAATAGTAGCTCTGATTAAAAAGGGTTAACGCACGCTACGTTAGCCTCCCTTCTAGATAGTGGATTTACCTCGCCCTTGACTTCATTTACGCTGTACGTTTTCCCTCAGGGAAGGAAGAACTAGATGGCGGTCGTGGCCAACTCCTGGTGGATGTCAGTGCGGAGCTTCCGTACAGCGAGACTGAAACCCGCAAGTGTCGAGATTCTGTTCTGCTGGCAGTTTTGTCATTACACTGCTTTGTGCCATTACAGCAAGTAAGGGGATTCTGGATGAACGGTGCCTCGAGTACTTGCTGACTACATAGTATGGTGGTGCATACCTACGCTGGCGCGTAGGACCGGCTTGAAGTCATACATAGAGGCGGATGGTGAATCGGGAGACGCTGGCGGAACGGGAGGATGGTGACTGGGCGGCACTGGTTCCAATTCGTGCCGTATTTCATTCTAAATATTTGAGAATAATTGAGTTTCCTTTGGCAAGGTCTATGTGGTTCCAGCAGGAAGAAGGTTCTGCAACTTTTAAATACACTGCATTGATCCTGGAGGAAACTGACGCAGGAATAATATCTATTTATATAGATTAGTGTAAATATTTATGGATTGTGAATACCAATTTCGGGACACAAATGTTCTCTACGTGTGGAAACTATTACAACTTGCCCTATGAATGATTGATAGGTGTTGCCGGTTGATGCTCGATTGCGGTAAAATGTTAATGACGCAATATATGCACGTTGTTTTGGAGCAAATATGTCCCTGGTGGCGCAAGAACAAAGCGTCCTGTTTGGGGCTGTATAAAACTTGTAGAAATGCTAGACTTTTAAGATTTGTATGCGATAGCACTCTGAATATTTGGTATTTGTCTCTAGGTTGATTTAAGGTAAAAAGCAAGTTACACTTTGAATATTTCTTATAGAAGTTTCCACGCATCTAGGAGGCAGCATGTTTACAGATGCGTCCCATTTTCAGCACTTGCATTCTTTAGGCAGCATTATTACGGCCATGTCATTTATTAACGAGGTAAGTCACTGCAAAATCAAAAAATGGCCTGGATTCCACAGTACGGCGCCCATGATTTGATAGAAACCTCGCAAATTCTCTTTCCTCTCTTACTTATGCTCTAAATCAATGGTCCTCAACCATTATTTTTTCACAAACCCAAAAATTTCGAAACGTCCAGAAATAATGCAGTGTGCGAATTGAAAATAAAGATTGAATTATAATACGGAAATGACGCTTTCACTAAAATGCTCTGGGCTATGTCATTCCTTATTATTCCTTTACCTCTTCGAGCTTCCTCTGAATGACTGGTTCGTCCTTCAATATTGAAGCGGCATTTAGATGGAGATCACCCAACATTGACGGCCAGCATTCTCGTTTCATACTTTCTGGCACTGTGAAGGCCACCAGAAGGTATGAATCATTACAATAACTAAATCGATAATAGTTTTGACTTTTTGCTGGAGGAACAGCGTCACCCCTAACCACAGCACTGACGAAGATAGAGATTGCTGGAAGATGAAGGTTAAGAGCAAAAATAACTTTTAAAATGTGTTTTTAAGTTGTTTGCACTTTCTTGGAACTGTCAGGAAGCTTTCTTCCTCTAATTATCAGGGTTAGTAATTAGATAGTTCCTGGAATAGTCAAGCTCGCAATATTGCCTTTGAACTTTGGTGCTTTATGTTTGATCCCTGTCTCCTCTTTCAACTTTTAATTCATTTTCATTCATCGAAGAAATCTTTAGAGGTGCAGACTATGAACTTCCAGAAAAAGTTTTAAGTGAGTAAAAAGCAACTATTTAAATGCGTACGGATTTGAATCTCCCGCATTAGGCGCTGGCAGTCGGATTATTTTTATGACAGTTGCACTACTCGGCTAGCGAATGTTTAGGAGCTTCGGAGAAATAAACAGTTGATAGTGAAGTCGTTCTTGACGGAATATCAGACCGTTTTCCCAAAAAGTTACAATATAGCATTTGTACCTATAGGTCATGGGAAAAATCATTCTGTGGCACTAAAGGAAACGTTCTTTTGGCGCACGACAATGTTCGATGATAGTAAAGGTGTATCTGAATTTTTAGCTGGTCGATCTGTCCTAGGAGGGGGATTCAGTTTTCTTCCAAACCTGGTTCGTGGTTCATTAATAATGAAATCACAATGGTGAAACACTTTTTCTTGCCCTAAACGTCACGTCGATGCGAAGACCTGAAGTAAAAAAAAATAAATAAACGTCATGATAATTTATAGTTGTTGTTTCCAGCGCCAATCCTCGCGTTGAAGTTGAATTCAAGTACTGGGGCACTCCTATTCATGGTACTTCCCTCTCATCGACATATGTGGATCCCTGCTTCTACTTCATCGAGGATTATACTCCGAGGATCGGTCCTCTCTTCGAGGCGGATGGGGAATATTCCAATTATGCCCTATAAAAAAAAGTAACACAGGAAGCGTTCTATTTCTGTGAAGGGCGCTAATGCTCCTCAAGGAGAACAAGGGTTGGGAGTGCTTGTTTTTCCACCTGCTAAATTTAGGACGGTCGATGGAACGCTTCCGGAGTTGGTACGTTGCGAACCGATTCGGTACGTTCTCGCGGTACGGCGATGATTGCTTGAGATATTGCCGTTGGTAACAAGGTATTGCCTCCCTGGACTTCACAGAAATCGAGACTCGGGGAACAGGAGACGACGACTCCCTCTTTATGCAGGAACGCTTTGAAAGGAGATGTTAAAAATTCAAATTTCAATTTCGCGAAAATAACAAAAAGAAAAGTTAATTCCTTTTAGCGGGATAAGAACGAAATTGGATTAGGATGGAAAAATGGGCAGGAACTTAAGTTCCTGCCCATTTTTCACAACAGAAAATTGTCAAAATTTCCATAACCATTACTTTGGCACGAATCACTTGTACAATTGCCAGCTTATGAATAATCATTAAGGACGAGGAGGGACGCTATTTTCCATTTCAGCTGGGCTCCATTTCCATTTGAGAAGGTCCCCGAGTATAAATTATTCCTCCTTCCCCGACGTAATATAAAGCGACCTCGTTCCCTCAGACCACGAAAATAAGAAATTCCGGGGAAAACACGTTCCGTCATCTTATATAATTTCCATTTGAGAAGGTCCCCGAGTATAAATTATTCCTCCTTCCCCGACGTAATATAAAGCGACCTCGTTCCCTCAGACCACGAAAATAAGAAATTCCGGGGAAAACACGTTCCGTCATCTTATATAACTTCATCATTGCCAATTAGCCCATTGTGACTGCACAATGACGAGCACTTCCCCCGTTAAGAATCCTTTCCTTCTAGGTCCAATTCGCAACGGCGTAGAAACGCCCACGCCAGGGCGACACCCTTTTCCAACTTCTCTTTTTACGAATTAACTTGATCGACACCGAAGGCGATGGCAAATTTCCAGTAAACAGAGAAAAGGAAAAAGATCAGATTAGAATTCCTCTTAACAAAAAGAAATCTCTGATCCTGAAGGAACAAAAAAAAACCGCAAAAACGGCTTGTTTTTCGTTGTATTTGAGGGACATACAGAACTTATGAATAATCGGCTGATGGCAACGCTGTTATTTGCTGCCGTGACTGCGTTGTTGATGTCGTGCAATCAGAAAGAGGGTTTACTCTCCCTTTTACTATTCAATTACTATTATTTATTATGCCTCTGAAGGTTTTTCAACCTTGTGTTTCTATAGGTAGGCTGGATGAAGAATGAGGACAGTCCCGACTCACGTCAAACACGATGCCTGTTGCTCCGTCGTTGCTGAAAAGACAGACTGAGACATGGAGGGGGGGGGGGGGGAGAAAAGAAGTGTCTGTCGTAATACAAGTCTGGTTTTCCCCCTCTCTGACCCGGGGCTGTTTCTCCGATTTCCTCGGCGACAGGATCGGCCAGCGAGGTTCCAGGTATAGGCTGGAAATCGGGCTTTGCTACGTTGGCCGCCTGTTACCGGATCAACCGTCTCGCAGGCGCACGGCAGGCCCTCCGACCCAAGCTAGGGTCGGCGCGGAGCTGGGTCCGCAATTAACCCATCACACTTTCCCCTTTGCCGGGGGCTCAGACGCTCGGTTCCCGGCTTGTTGAGAAGGGGAAGTCTTGGCATTTATCGTGAGACAGATATGACACATTATAGAAAGGAGAGCCAGTGACATAGCTTACCCACCTTAGATTGGACTTATACAGTCGAACTCTGTTATAACGAAACCTCGGTTGTTAACGACGAAAGCGTACGAGCCCATAACGCACGTTACATTTTACCCTCGGTTATAATCATTGAAGGTCCCACAGACGAAATCTTGTCCCTAATCCGTCAATTACTTAACTGAAATTTCTGTCATCGGAAATCTTTAGAGCCATAACTTTATATTTACTGGATTCGGTATTCCTTGAGAGTCATGTGGGTGTGGCTGGAGCAATGTTAGGAAGCCTATTAGGGGTCATTAATTCTAGTGGAGTAGAAGTCAGCGGTAAACGTAAAGAGCAACTGTTGTACCGGTTACCTTTTGCTAAGAGGCAAGCCTTCACGATTGAAAGGAAAGTGTGCTTGATTAGTTCAAAGAGCTCAAAGTGAGGCTAACGTCGCTCGCGAACATAGACATCTGTTTCCACAATTAGGGAAAATCGTGCCAGCTTCATCCGTGTTTACGAGAACATGTCACAAAACAAGAAACTTCCTAGGTCTTCCTAGAGGAAACATCACGATTAGTGGGTCAATCTTGAAACTGAAGCTATTGTAGTATGACCAATGTAAACTAGAGTTGTAAAGTTATATAGCATCAATTTTGAAAACAGGAAAACGGAGTGCCAATAAAGGCAACCTCGGTTATAACGACGGTTTTTACCTGGTCCCTTCGATGACGTTATAACCGAGTTCGACTGTATTTGTATATTTATAAACAATAACTTTTACTT